TACATATAATCTAGTAAAGCAATCCGAATTACATCTAAATGTCTTGATGTACTAATAAAACAAATTCACTATGGCTGATGTCATGTTGTTCGAGAAGTTACGAACCTGCTTTACTGTAGATTCCTAAATATATGCGAGAAATAAATTATCGCGTAATTACGCGAGAAGCACCACTCGCGAAATAAAATTACTCGCTTTTATTTTTATGGTGCTTTAATGTATGTAAAATCTCTGGATAAATCACCGATTCGCGAATTATTGTTCCCGCGATTTGACGCCCGTGGGTCATTTCGCAATATTAAGTACTCGCGTAAAATAAGGAATTTACAGTAATTTCTGCAGCTTTCAGCATTACTAAATATGAACAGGATCCAAATAAACATTACTAGGCATTTACTGTTCTTCCAGTTGCAACTGGAAGAAGTTCCAACGTCAAAAAATTAATATCAACGTCCTCAGCACATATATTTTGTTCTTTGAGATGAAAAAAGATGAAGATAACGAACAGTGATTAATCTCAGAAAAATTACAAACAATACAAATCCGTGAGCAGGGCATAAAACACGGGGCCTCGGGAATTCCGAAGTTGGATCAGGTGCCTAGGAGGAGTAAGCATTCTCTGTTGACGGGTCACATGCGCCCTGAGCCCTATTTATGAATCAGGAACAATAATAAATTTATCATGCCTTTTTGAGCTCACCTGAGCCGAAGGCTCAAGTGAGCTTTTCTGATCACATTTTGTCTGTATTCCGTCTGTCCGTCTGTCTGTCCGTCCGTCTGTAAACTTTTCACATTTTCGACTTCTTCTCAAGAACCACTGGGCCAATTTCAACCAAACTTGCCACAAAGTATTCTTGGGTGAAGGGAATTCAAGTTTGTTCAAATGAAGGGCCATGCCCTCTTTCAAGGGGAGATAATAAAGAATTAGTGAAAAATTAATATCATATTTTAAAAATCTTCTTCTCAAGAACCACAGAGCCAGGGAAAATGAAACTCATGTGGAAGCATCCTCAGGTAGTGTAGATTCAAGTTTGTTCAAATCATGACCCCCGGGGGTAGGGCGGGGTCACAATGGAGGATCAAAGTTTTACATAGAAATATATAGGAAAAACCTATAAAAATCTTCTTCTCAAGAACAGCAAAGCCATGATGAGTCATATTTATATGGAAGCATGCTCAGGTAGTGTAGATTCAAGTTTGTTCAAATCATGATCCCCGAGGGTAGGGTGGGGCCACAATGGAGGATCAAAGTTTTACATAGAAATATAAAGGAAAAATCTTTAAAAATCTTCTTTTCAAGAACAGCAAAGCCCTAATTGGTCATATTTATATGAAAGCATCCTCGGGTAGTATAGATTCAAGTTAGTTCAAATCATGACCCCCGGGGGTAGGACGGGGCCACAATGGAGGATCAAAGTTTTACATAGAAATATATAGGAAAAACCTTTAAAAATCTTCTTCTCAAGAACAGCAAAGCCATGATGAGTCATATTTATATGGAAGCATCCTCAGATAGTGAAGATTCAAGGTTGTTCAAATCATGACCCCCGAGGGAAGGGCGGGGCCACAATGGAGGATCAAAGTTTTACATAGAAATATGTAGGAAAAATCTTTAAAAAATCTTCTCAAGAATAGCAAAGCCCTGATTGGTCATATTTATATGGAAACATCCTCAGGTAGTATAGATTCAAATTTATTCAAATCATGACCCCCGGGGGTAGGGTGGGGCCACAATGGAGGATCAAAGTTTTACATAGAAATATATAGGAAAAATTTTAAAAATCTTCTTCTCAGCAACAGCAAAGCCCTGATTGATCATATTTATGTGGAAGTATCCTCAGGTAGTGTAAATTCAAGTTTGTTCAAATCATGACCCCCTGGGGAAGGGTGGGGCCACAATGGAGGATCAAAGTCTTAAATAGAATTATATAGGAAAATACCTTCTGATGAAGAACTGCAAAGCCATGATTAGTCATTTTGATATGGAAGCATCCTCAAGTAGTGTAGATTCAAGTTTGTTAAAATGATGACCCCGGGGGTATGGATGGGCCACAATGAGGGATCGAAAATTTTACATAGAAACATATAGGAAAATATCCTCTTCTCAAGAACTGAAAATCATGTTTAGTCATTTTGATATGGAAACATCCTCAGATAGTGTAAATTCAATTTCGTTCAAATGATGACCCCCAGGGTAGGATGGGGCCCAAAGGGGGATCGAAAGTGTAACATAAGAACATACAGAAAAAATATTTCTTCTCAAGAACAGAAAAGCTATGTTTAGTCATATTGATATGGAAGTATCCTCAGGTAGTGTAGATTCAAGTTTGTTTAAATATTGACCTCTGGGATAGGGAGGAGCCACGATAGGGTATCAAATTTTTACAAAGGATTATATGGGAAAAAATTTTCACTGATTTGTGCTTTTGCCTAGCCAATGTGCTCAGGTGAGCGATGTGACCCATGGGCCTTTTGTTATTCATCATGCAATGTCATCATGAATTCATGTATAAATTTGAAATATCATGGTTGCAAAGATTATGATTATGTCTTATTCCTTCTCAAAGTACTCTCCATGCAATTTGGTGTTGTCTCAGTCCGTTATTGAAACTCTTAAATAATTATAGTTTCCAATTTAAATCCTTAAATCAGAAACACCCTACCATTTTAGCTACAATTTTAATATTTGAAAATTGAACCATGAAATAGAATTATTGTTGTTTATTTGTCAATGCATGTAGGGAAGTAAAATACAAAATTCACCTTGGAGTTCAAAAGTTTTCGGATGATTAGAGTTTCAAATATAAATACTTACAAAATTAATGTCAGTTAAATTAAAAAAAAATTAGATCTTTGAAAATACGTTGTAAAAGATGTAAAATACTTTATTTTTAAGTATCAGGGGACACAAAATCAGTTCTCTATAACCGTAAATTTGCTATATCCGAATTCGTTATATCCGTGAAATTTAACGAGGAATTGTTAAGAATTTCGCCGGGGATTGCAAAAAACTTCACTACATCCGTAAATTCGCTTTACTTTATTCGTAACAGACCTGGGGTCAATTACTTTGAAATGTAATGTATTAAGTTACAATTACTTTGGAATATTTACCATTACAATTACCATTACCATTACTCTCATTCAGAAAAGTAATTAATTAAATTACAATTACTTTGCTAAAGTAATGAATTACGTTAAACATTACATTTTATAAGTGAAAAACTCAAATGTTATGCCCAGTCACAATTTATGTCCATAAATTAACTTTCTCACACTTTGTGTTTGGTTAATATGACTTCCCACAGGTCTATAAGTCAGAGTGGTATTTGAATTTTGGATCCATTTATCATGTTCATGTAGTTTACCAATCTTCAGTTGACAAAGAAAGCGGATCAGAACATTTTCAATGTTCTAGTTTTGTTCAGTCTCTGATATTAGGTCCTCTTTTTTTGAATAAATGATACACACTTCATACTACACGTATATATTTTATGTAAAGTGATATTTAATTAACAGAAAATTCTGTAATTGTAAAAGGGTATGTATTAATAATTTAATTAATTGGCACTTGTAATTAGCTTAGCATTATCAATGAAGATATAAAGTTAACACAATTAACCATAGGTGATAATTACTGGTACCTAAATATAGGGTTTGAAGTTGACCCTCGAGACCCAAAAACGAATGATTGACAGTATCAATATTTACATTTGGCCTTAGTTTCCCTTTGTGTCTTCAAGTAGATCATACTGATCTTGTATCTTGCTTACCAATTCCATCTTACCAGAAAGAACTTTGTGAAAAAAAACAAGTTGAAAAATATAGTTTGTATCTTAATTCGTAGTCTCAGTACACATGTATTAATGTCACTTGTTTTGTAGCTATATTTGAAACCTAATAATTTCTTTTAATATTTTTTATGACTCTCTTCAATTCGTTTTATAACTGTCTTGTAAAGAAGCTTTCTATTAAAACGTCTATGTCTATCATTCACCATTGAATAAACATAAAAAAATGGTAAGGTATAGGATATTAATTTTAAGACTTAAACATTATAAATAAAAAAAAATAACCTCTCAATTGTCTTGCTTTGTTTAAGATTCACCAATAAAAAGACATTTAAAAACAAAATGTAATTGAAATGAAATTGAAAAGTAATGGTCATTAGTGACATTTTTTTTGAAAGTGATGCATTACATTACAATTATTTGTAATTGAAAGATGGATCCATTACACATTATACCCAATAAATTTAAAAAAAAATGTAACGATTACAATGCATTACCATTACACATTACCGTTACCCCAGGTCTGGTTCGTACTAAAGGAGTTTTACTGTACAATGATTTAGCAACTTCTGGCTCTGTGAATAGTGTACTCCTTTGGTAGCTAAATATTCGTGTTGACCTCAGAGACAGCAATATTTGTATAAGATTTTAATTAGCAAGCGATTAATATTGATCAGTGCTTGAGATACAAAATATGTAGATTGTATATAAAAAAAAACAACAAAATCACAAGATGTTATATTATCAAGTGTTGAAAATTCACAAATGCAAAAACTCATACACTGTTAAAAAAAAAACAAAAAAAAAAAAAAACAAAAAAAACAAAAACAACAGCAACAACAACAACAAAAAAAACAAAAAACAAAAAAACAACGAATTCTTAATATAAAAAAGAAACAAACTTATATGTATGATGATCCACTGACATTTTTTAATTTTTTTCTTTGATACAAGGGAACAAAAAAAAAAGATTGGTTGAATAGAAAACCCGTTTTTTTAATATTATAAATTAACAAGATATCATTAAAATAAACATATGTTGCAATATAAAAAAAATAAAAATAATGATTCAAAGATATTATCAATTTTGTTTCAATAGGTATCGAAAGTGGGGTACAATTATCAACTTACAAATCAGCATAAAAGGATTAAAAAAAAATATTAATCGAACATACAAATATTTCTATAATTCTTTGTGATTTTTCAGAAATGGCCAAGAGGAGGTATTGCTATATCCGAATAGCTATTATCTTGTGGATATCAAGCAAAATGGTTAAAACCTTCAGGCCAAATCTTTTTACCAAATCTCTCTGCCACTATTCCACTAAAAAAGTTGATTGTTCGAATAGAAGCTTGGAGAACATACCATTTCTCAATTTAACACACAAAATAATAATCATGGACCTGTCAGAAAACAACTTCATTAATGTAACCGATAATTTTTTTGAACCGATACAGGATTCAAATATAACAGAACTTTTCATGAAGAGTTGTCACATTCACTATATATCTCCAAAAGCTTTCACACTTATTCCGAACATACGCTCAGTAGATCTATCTTTCAGCAATCTGAGTGTCAATGCCCTGAAGGAAGGTTTGAAAGGTTTCAGTGGCTCCAGTATAAAGTATCTCGACATTTCGAATATCATTGCAAGTGAAAAGCCTAACACTCTACCAGAAGACGTTCTCCGAAGTCTCCTAAAAACAAATATAACCAGTCTAAGGATGAGAAGTTGGAATGTAGATAAAGTTATAGGGAAAACCTTTCAAAATCTATCAGGTTTGCACAATTTAGATCTAAGTATGAATGAAATAAATACTTTCGAAATGGATGGTCTCTCTGAAATTAAACTATTAAACTTGACTTGGAACAAGATGACTTCATTACCGAGAATGTGTAATAATCAAAACAGAACATTGGTACCAAATTTGAATAAACTGTACCTTGCAATAAACCATCTTCTTGATTCACAAGAATTCCAAACACAAGGCCAGTTTACCGAATTTGTACTATCTCAAATTATCATTTAATTTGATGGATAGAATTAAATCGAATTCATTTTCAACCATCAAAAAATTAGGAATTTTACTCATTGGAAACATGTTGACGTACGATTTGGCTATAGAAGAGGATGCACTCCATTCCGAAACACTAGACATGTTATTCCTTGGAAGTTACAAAAGAGTGTCAACTCATACTTTCAATCCAAAAACACTCTTTGAAAAATGCACACAGTTAACAAAACTGGAAATGTCAAAATTTGATTTCTCCGAAGTTTCCATTGAAAATTTCCATGCAATGATATCACCTTTGAAAAACCTTAAAAAGCTTATTTTAAGTCACAATAATTTGAATAATGTACCTGATACCTCCAATTTTCCTAATCTTACCTTCCTGGATTTAGAGGGGAATGCTATTCGGCATGTGCACAAAGATTCTTTTCAAAACAACTCACAGCTTAAGAGCATTAGTTTTAAAAGAAATCAACTCACAACAATTCGACAGGATACTTTTACAGAAGAAATATGGAAGAATCCAAAATTATCCATAGATATATCGAATAATCCATTTGCCTGTGACTGTGACCTTGAATGGTTTATCAACTGGGCATACAAAAGAGGTATAATAGCGAAAAACAGCGAATATCAATGTGATTCCCCCAAAAAATGGAAGGCAACTCGACTTGATATCCACATTGAAAGTCTGAAGACTAGCTGCCATCCAGTGAACAGGGTGTTCATCACAGTTTTAACAGTTTTTTCCTTCATGTTTATATTTCTTTTTGGTTTAATTCTTGCATGGAAGTTAAGATGGGACATTAAGTATTATTTACATACATGTAAATGGAAGGAAGAAAGTCGAAGAAGATATCAAAAAATTATTGATAAGGAGCTTAAAGAATACGATGGATTTGTGGCATACAACACACATGACCGGAAATGGATTATGTCAGAACTTGTCGACGCAATGGAGAAGGAAGAAAACTACAAACTTTGTCTCCATGAGAGAAACTTTTTACCGAGCTGTGCTCATGTTGATAACATACTAGAAAATATTGAAGCCAGTAGAAAATTCATTTTAGTCCTTTGTAACAACTTTATGAGTGACCAGTGGTGTAATTACGAAACTATCATTGCCAATCACAAGTTAGCAAATGGAAATGGGGACATAATTTTTCTGATTTTGCTAGAAAAAATTAACTCCAAACATTTTACAACCGCGCTGAAAACTTTATCAAAAGCTGTAGAGAATGCAGAATGGACTTTGAATGAGAACGGGAAGAAATTGTTTTGGAACAAACTTAAAGATTTATGGAATAAGTTAACGGATAATGTCAAAAATGTCAAAATTCAAAATAGTCTTGTCTATAGAATTTATTTTACTGATATTTCTTTTCATTAATGTCATGGAGGTGAATAAAGGCCAAAATTCAAAATCACAAGTTTGGGTATTAAAAAAGAAAAGATTTTTTTGGGAATCTCGAAGAAAGATGATTATTTATTGATGAATGACTTTTCTGATATAAGATGAGGGACAGTTCCAGAAAAATGAATAAATTTGCTCAGTAAAATGCCTTTTCTATTAAGGAAAAGAAGTTTAATAAGTTATTAGACATAAAGCTCGTGGAATGAACACGGAGAAAGAATGATTGTGGTGGGTTAATGAATATAATTGCACTGTGGACGAGTGAGAACCAAAAATTCGAAAATAAACGTCTTAGTATTTCCTCATATTTGCTTTTATTTATTTACCTTTCGCAATGATTTTCTCTCATTTCTTTTGTTAGGGCAATTCAATTTTAAGTTTAGTTTTACATTTGTACTTGTGTCTTTTAAATAACTTCTGTGGTTATTTTTAAAGTTCTGGATTGAGACTATCATCTTTTAATTACACTTGTTCAAAAAATTATAAATTATGCATCACCAGTCATGAAAATTTTTTACATTAAGAAAATAGCTTCCAGGGGATCTTAAAATGTTGAATGTGGTTCACTGAGATTTTTTAAGGAATATTTTTGAAAAATAAATGTGCTTAAATTGATATTTTAAAAAATAGTTTTTGCTTCCTATTTGCGTTATGCTTCATAAATCTGCGTGTGCTCTACTTTCAGTAATACTATAATTCAGTTGCGTTGGTAGAGTTATATGCTTTCCTTTCCTTTACATGTTTGTCAATCACTCCTAAGATCGTAAAGACTTACACAAATTAAAAGGGAAAAAACTCAGTGTATTGAAAATAACTTTATTCTTGCATATATATTAATAAACAACAATTAAAAACAATTGAAAGGTAAATAAAATAAAAATCAAAGTAAAAAATAACAAACAAACAAAACATACCGAGAAAACTGAGTAAAAGGTGAAATAAGGTGAGGTGTTATCCAGAACAAACAAGGTTTAGCGAGTTTTACTTGCCAACAATGTCATCAAAACATAAGCGAATCATGACTCAAATCTGTAAATAGAATATTATAAAAATAATGATGAAAAAACCCCACTCCCCCAAAAAACAAGAAAGAAAAAAAACATGCATCCCCTGTCGACGTCACATCCGCCATGTGCTCCTCGTCGTGATCGGACAAACGAAAAAATCCGTAGACATTTCAGTGAAAATAATGTCCCAACAATTAGTATGGAAACGTCAGTCAACAGTCGACTTAATGATATTTGCTGACATCGTCATTGAATTGACCATAGAATTCATTTATATAGGAAAAATTGAATTAAACTATAATACGAGGGCTGTTCGGAAATTATTGAGACATTTACTTTTACTCCATAAAGGCCAGAGATAAATTCATGTAAATTCGTAAACATTTTATAAAGAACGAATAAAACAAATGTGCAAAATTTCTAATTTATAAGATAATTAGACAAGTTCCGGTGAATTATAAACATGCATATGTCTATCGACCTGGAGCAGCATTGCTACGTCATTTTAACGTCACGTCAGGCGGAGATGTTTTCGCATGTGAAACGATCGGGAAGCCTTTACTCTTCTTTCTCTTATCACATATAATATTCCTAAAACCAAATGTCTCTTTTCTTAAACATTTCTTTAAAAAACAAAATTAAAAAAAATGTGTGCTGTTGCTACCCCAGTGTAAAAAATACCTGAAGTGTCATATACAGATTGAATAAGCATCTTGCAGTACCGATTAATGCAACGCGGGTCAACGTTATTTAGTCCGTAATAATCGATGGTCGTCCGGAGCTCTTGTTTTTACTCGTGTTGAATATTTTGTAAGAAAAAAAAATATATGCCAATGAAAAAATAAAACCCTTAGACATGTTTTTTCATTGTTATTGTTTTAGCAGGTCGTTTAGTGTGGAAAAGAGTTCTCCATAGCGCTACACAAAATTATAGGTATGCTCGCTGCGCCGCCTTGACGTCAAAATCCATTTTGTCGTCGTTTTCAGATTTCTATACCGCGCTTAAATTTATTTATGATTTCCGTATTTCTGATCGAAATTCTGATAAACTTGCACAAAATGAAGTCAAAATCAAACTGAAAAATTGTAAACATAAATTGAATTATTTTCGCTCTTACTATGGGTCCTCCGGGGGTTTGAACGTTGGTGTTACGTATTTTCAATATCTGATTTCGTGACTGCGCCGGGTACCCCTACCATTGACACATTAATATACAATTGAAAAGAAGAAATAAAATATTTGTAAAATATTTTTTGCTTTTATCAATTCTTAGTATTTGTAAAACGTATATGCAAATTTTCACCGAAAGACGTTCATTAGAAAAAAGAATATACACATTGTCTCAATAATTTCCGAACAGCCCTCGTAGTTCCTGTTGCGGGTTCCATAATAGAGCTATCCCACTCAAAGCCAATAGATAACTGTATAATGCCCCCCCCCCTTTTTAAAATTCAATTCAGTAAATGTTGACTTTAAACGAGACTGTTCATGTTCTTGTTTCATTAACTTATTTGTCAATAGGCTGCCTTGTTTTAGAAAGTGTTCGCACATTGAGCATGTTTTCTTTCGTATCGAACGAATTAGGAGACATAAGCTCCATATGCAGGTGATAACGGTATATTGCTACATAAATAAGAAAAATTGACGATTGAAAAGTTGAATTCATCACTTTTATCATAAAGTATTGATGTTAAGTTATCATTAACGTCTTTTTCTATTAATATATCCGAATATGAAACAGTTTTGTCAAACTCGGTGGTATCTTTTATGTCAAGTTCACAGGGATATATTGAATCAATGTAAGAATGAAAATGAAGACTGTTAATTGATAAAAAGTCGCCGGTGTATCTAAATGTTGAATTAAAGGCCACAGAAAGAGACTTCTCCTTAATATATAGACGTTTATGAATGAATTCTGCTTTATATGAATACAAAAATAGATTTCCTAATAACGGGGCAAAATTGGTACCCAGGGGAATTCGACAGATTGTTAGAAGATTTGAGCTCCAAAAACTTCATAGATATTAATTCATTGTCAACCAAACACTTAAGTATCTTTTTAATATCAACTTCGAAGGACTTGTATTTACAATCAGAATGATTTTAACAAAATTATTTTGCAAATAATCAATGACAAGGTAAGTAAATTTAAAAGTTCCATTTTTATTGAAAAAGCAACTGTCTATGATGTAAAAAAAAAAAAAAAAAAAAAAAAAAGCAGTATGTATATCCCCTATCAACCCGTCACACCCTACGTGAGCCCTATATATGTATTGATCGGGTAAACGGAATATTTCATTGTCAAATTTAGTATGAAAAACAAAGACCTATCAATTGATATAGAATATGTCAGTCAAAATACGACTCAATGCTAGGTTATATTTGCGAGACATAACCACCGTATGAAGATGAAAGAGAAATATTAGGAAGTTGGTGATGGAAAAACTGAAGTAATCTCGTTTGTCATATAGTATAGTTGTTAGTTGGCCCTTAGTCACATATGAACGAAAAATAACGACTATTATCGTCATCTATATACTAGTATCTTAATGTGGAATTTAAGGCAACAGCTTGTGTTTTTTTTTCTTGTCATAATCAGTGAATCAAAATTTACAAAGTAAGCGTTGTCACATTGATTTTTATTTATACAAAGTAAATTAATCTAATTTAAAATGTTAAGATCCCCGATTCGTGCCAATGATTTTCGTTTGAAATCGACTGAAATACAGTGGATTGTCTTAAATGTACAAGACAAGCTAGAACAGGATTAAAGTATTCGGCAAAAATATGTCAAAAACATTTTGATTTGTAAAAGGTCACCACATGAATTTCCAAACATCGAGTGTCAATCAATTGATTATTATATAATATCGTAATTTTTAAGAAATGAGGATATTAATATATGTGAGCTTGAATACTATATATCTATCAACTTTGTACAAATAAATTTCTTTAAAAAAGATTTATTAACAAGTATAAGTTAAGTTAGTGTGTGTGGATTTATGTGTTAAACCTCCTATTGCCTCAAAATGAAAATTGCAATTTGTTGCATTATTGCTTCATTGCAAGTTTAATTTTGTTCCAGAAAAGTTCCCTTCCAGGCGAATTTGCTGATGGCCATCTTATATAGGTCATGGAACGAAGTAGCATATGCAAAGAGTCTGTCATATATTTGCTCTGAATTTCCCCCAACAGCACAACAATAAGCACATTGGCACCGTCATCAATCAGTCGATCCTGCGCCACCAGAGTCTCGTACTGACACCATTGACTCTTTGCAAAGCTGTTTGATATAACTAAAATGACTTTTCTACTTCTCTTTATAGTGTGAGAGATTTGTGAGAAAATAGTCCTCCCAGGAAGAAAGTCTCTTTCGTGAAGACACAAGCGATATTGCTCCTTACCCTCAAGTTCTGACATCAAATTGGAGATAACCCAGGAGCGGTCATCTTCATTATACGCAACAAAGGCATCAAATAAAATATCTGACTCATCCGTTCCTTCAATTTTTTCATATCCTTTTCGTGACCGGAGCAAATAAGCATAGTATTTTATATGCCATTTGTATTTTTTGTAGAGAACAACAAGAATGATCAGCAAAATAAAAATGCAGACTGTAGCGATTGCAATCGCCTCTTGCATCGTCAAAGAATGACATTCATAATATGATGGGTTATAATCCGTCAAGGTTCGGTTATATAGATTTTTCGGAGAAGAACACTGGTAAGAAGATAGATCATTCTGGAACAAAATATCTTTCCTTTCTTTCAGTACAGAGTTAATGAACCAATACAAATCACAGTTGCAAGCATATGGATTGAATCGGATATCCAGAAGAGAAAGACGATCAAGTGTTGCAATAGAAATAGAGTTATTGTCAATAACACTAATCCTATTTGCCATTAAAGTTAAATTCTTAAGACCCCTCAAATCTTCAAATAAATGATAATTCAAGGCTCCAATATAATTGGTTCCCAAATCCAGTACTTTGAGACGTTTCAAACTGGAAATAATACGCGGAATTTGTAGAAGATGGCAATCATTGATAACAAGTTCCTCGAGTTTGAGCAAAAATTCCAATAACAAAGACATATTTGTATTCATCAAATCAAAGCGCGCTATGCTTAATTTCACTAATTCTGGTGTATGCTTAAAAACACGGTTTGAATCAAAAGTTGGAGGATATTTAGCTCCGATGTTCCCAATGTGGAGTTCTTGAAGAGAGTTGGAAGATAATGACATTTCCTCAAAGATGTTTTCAACACTAAAAAGATTTTCAAGATACAGATTTGTTAGATTGGGTAGATGAGCAAATGTATTGTTCTTCAAGATTCTTATTGGATTGTAAGAGAGCGCCAAATGAGTCAGAGTTGTCAAGCATTTGGAAGACTTTTCTAAATTTATCAGATTTGAAATGTGATTTTGTTGGACATCCAAATACACCAACGATGGAGTCAAAGATTTATTATCTGGATCACAAAATGTTGGGAAAAAAATAATTTCGTTTAATTGCAGAGATAAGCTAGAAATATTACGCAGTCCCTCTAGGGATATATTGTATATTCCATTGTCAGCGAGTGTAAGTTCCTTGATGTTGGGCAAATTCTTAAAAATGGAACTGTTAACACGGTTTTTGATTTTGTTCTTATTCAAAAAGAGTTTCTGCAGCGATTGACTTTCTATTGTTGCAAATTCATGGATATCTATTTCTGTTCCAGAGAGGTCAATCACTTCAATGCTTGAAGTTATAATATCCGACAAATTTGCATGTTTAAAAACATTGTCACTGAAATTCAAATTTCTGAGATAAAGTAAATCTTCGAAGATTCCGGGACCAACATCAACAATGTTACATACAGACAAATCTAAATAGTCCACTTTATGTTCCTTAGACACATTTTCAAATGTCTGTTTTGTGAGATTCTCGTAAAAATTCCCTGAAAGATCAATCTCCTGAATATGTTTTGGAAGCTTTGGTATATAAGAGAGATTTTGATTAGAACAATCCGCAGTAATATTATAACACCGACAGACAGATGGACAATCATTTGCTGTCACTGTAAACAGGGAAAATAAAGCCAATACTGCTCTACTGGAAATGTCTTTTGAATACATTCCTTGCAAACTGCAAATAAAGTAAATCGAATTAATGTCTAAATACAGTCGTTCTTTGCAGCATTTAGTTTCTTAATTTCTTTATCACAAAGTTATTTAAGCCTACCATAAATGTTGACATTATCAAAACAGTAAAACTCGGTTATAGCGAAGTCCTGGGGACCTGTGAATTCACTTTGCTTTATCCACAATTCGTTATATCCGTATAACGAATTCGTTAAAGTATATATAACGAATTCGCAATATGCATCTTTTCCTTCAAGTATTTCTACCAAATAATGTCAGTTAAATATTTTAAATTTTAAGATATTGAAAATTCGTTATAAAAGATGTAATTTTCGCTATTTTTAACCTCTCCGGGACAGAAAATCAGTTCGCTATATCCGTAAATTCGCTATATCAGAGTTCGTTAAAAGCGTAATATTTTCCTAGGATTTGTTAAGAATTTCGCCGGGGATATTGAAAAACTTCGCTATATCCGTGAATTCGCTATATCGGTGTTCGTACTAAACGAGTTTTACTGTAATGTGTACTATTCAGATCTCATCAAATCTCTAAAAATTGCAGCAATATTTGAAGGGATGGATATAAACCTTACAAAGAGAGGGGACCTGAGATTGAACATTAACTGGCCTACACTTGTATGGATGTACAAGTAATAGCTGTTCAAAAAGCTTCCCTGACTAAAGCAGTCAATATGTGCATAGAAGTATAAGCATGGTGAGTGATTAACGTTTATGTATAATTTTTTTATTTTGGGGGGGTGGGTGGGTTCGAAATTCTAAATATTTCAATACCGTACATTTTGAAGACTTTGTACAAAACATCTTGATTTTTGTTTTATTTGTTTGCTAGTCACCAGAAAGATAGAAAGTGAGCAAATAAATGTAAAATTATTCAGTGTTTGTATCTCATGCAACATGAGTACAAATCAAGTGGAATGTATATGCCTGCGGATAACATTTGAAAGAAGTAAATATGACCTGATATTGAAGATTCTTTAAATGTGTTTTAAATTAAAATGAAGTTAGTAAGGAAAAGAAAATAATGTAAAATTTGATATATGCTGTGAAGCTGTGGCTGTGTAAAAGTAACTTAAAATAGTTTCAAATGCATAGAAGATCTGAAATGCCGAACGACAGCTAAAAATATAAGTACTTATAATACCAATTGTAATTATTCAAAGAAATGAATATCTTTATGAAGACTGAATTGTATACTTTTTTGAATCATTATTTTACAAATAATTTTATTATAGAAATAACAGTGTTTTCAAAATCTTAATATAAGAAGTTAGCTAGGATATAGCTATATGGATGTGCATGGTACATTTAAGCGAAAAAATAATCACAATGTTGTGTATTAGGTGCATGGCAAAATATATCACACCAGAAAATTTAACCTAATCTTGGCAGCAAAAGATTATCAGAATTGAAAAAAGTGCACGCATTTCCTTTGTTGAAGTGGATGTCTATATTGAAAAAATACTGTCTGTAAATATATGGCTGAAGACAAAATTCCATTTATTGTCTAGGGATGAAAAAGTGTAAATCAAAGTTATGCTTTATCGTTACAGAAATACTATGTAACAGTTTTAAAAGCTTCTAAGACGTACTCTTCTATTGTGTACTACGGTGGAACTTTGTTAAAATTATTTTCAAAGTTAAAAAAAAAAATCTAAATCACCAATACATGAACTATGAGGATAACGTACAGTAATCATGCTCAAAAGTCCACTGGAACAATACAAATTGGGAACAGAACAAACATTGACCTCTAAAAACATCAAAGCTGGAATCAGGTGCCATGGAGGAGTAAGCTTCCCCTGAAAACGTCAGTCATCATTCGACTTGATGATTTGATATATTGTATTTACTAACAAGATCATTGTATCGACCATAGAATTTGCAGAATGTTGACTTCAAACGAGATTACTGAAACCCATGCATCATCAACGTATTTGTCAATAGCTTGCCTCGTTTTAGAAATTATTTGGACGTAGAGCAACTGGGAGGCATAAACTCCATCTGCAGGTGATAATGGTATATTGCCACATAAATAAAGAAAGCTGACTATAGAAAAGGTGAAGTCTCCACGTTAGTCATAAAGTTTAGCCACCATACTTTTTCTAGTGAAATATCAAAATATGAAACAGACTCTTGTGGTATCTTTTATTCCAAGTTCAAAGGGATATATCGAATCAATATAGGAATGAAAATAAATACTGTTGATTGATAAAACGTCGAATACAAGGCCACAGCAAGAGACTTCTTCTTTTCATTTGGAAGTTTTTGAATAATTTCTTCCTTATATGGATACAAAATAACGGGGCACAATTAGCACCCAATGGGAAATTCAACAAATTGTTGGAAGACTTGATCTCTAAACTCAGAACATTTCATGGATATTGTCAATCAGAAACTCAAGCATCTTGATATTAACTTCGGAGTTCCTGTGTGTTCGATGGCCGATATGAGCCGTCAAATTACAAGTAAGAGTAACTCTATTATGTACGCAGAATTAGTTGACTTTAACAGTAATACCTGTATCATTTTGTACATGTACATCTTTGTCAATCACAAAACGCTTGTAATTGTAATTTATATTTGTACATGTACAAATCTTAAGACAAAACACATTTGAAACTACTTAACATTCCTCAGATTTATTGGGGAGATTATCTGTAAACTAAGACAGGGACTAAAACCAAACACGTGTGTCTGGTTTTTCTTCTCTTTTCTTCTTTTCTCCCCCTTTTTTGTTGTTAAATTATTGCTGTATTCCTAATTTTTGATAATCATAAAACGCAGCAAGATTATTTTTACTTTCACATACGTTGTCTGAGACCTCAACATTCACATTTTTCCATCAAAGAATATCTTGTTAGTGTCTTTATTCAGATTCCACGTGTTTTGGTTTGATCTTAATTTCCTTACCGACAACGCAATATTAAAATTCATTCGTAGGTCCCAAAATACTGGCTAAAGATTCCAGAGACAATGAAGCTGCATCTCTAGTATTTCCCTTCCCTTCCCTTCGGATGAAAGATTGTCGCTCGATGATCTGTGTAAGTAAGAACTTCGTTTATTTTTCATTCTACTCTTTCCCTTGTTCCATTAATATTTTTTCTCCTTTATTTTTTTTCATTGGAACAAGGAAAATAATAGAATGAGGAAATGAATAAACTTCTTACTTAAAGATTCAGCTTCATTTTCTCTGGAATCTTAAACTAGTATTTGAGGCCTAAGAATGAATTTCTATATTGCGTTGTCGTGAAAGAGGTTTAAATCAAACAAAAACACGAGGAATCTGAATAAAGACAGTTACAAAATATTCTTTGATAGAAAAATCCGAGAGTCATGATCTCGTACGACGTATGTGAAAGTACAAACAGTCTTGCTCTTTTAAAGATCATTAAAAATAAGCATTTATTTAACACCCTCCTCCCCCCCCCCCCCCCAAAAAAACACGTGTTTTTGTTTTAAACCCTTTCTAAGTTTACAGATAGTCTCCCCAATAAATCTGAGGAATGTTAAGAAGTTTCAAATGTATTTTGTCGTAAGATTTGTACATGTACAAATTCATATTACAACTACAAGCGTTTTCTCATTGACAAAGATGTACAAAATGATACAGGTACTACTGCTAAAGTCAATTAATTCTGCGTACATAATAGAATTACTCTTACTTGTAATTTGACGGATCATATCGGCCATCGTATGTGTGTACAATCAGAAAATGTTTTAAGGTTAGACGACACGTTCCTCAAAAATATATTTTTTCCAAGAATTTGTCATTGAAGTATTTCTCCTTTAACAAGTTTCCTCACAAAAAAGTAAGGTACCTTACCAGGTATTTGTACAAGATACAAGGATGCTATTTACTATATAATCCTATTGAAAATCACAAGCATTGCCAATATCACATTTTTTTGTGTCTTTATATACTTAGACATTTTAAAAACAATTTAAAAATCACAAGACAATAATAATTATGACTAATTTGTTGTATATTAAGAAGAGATACAAAACAGATATTCGAGCAACGTGTCGTTAGACCTTAATAAAATAATTTTGCAGATGAACAGTGAAAAGGAAAGCTATTTTACGGGTTCCATTTTTTATTGAAAAAGCAGCTGTCTAGATGTTCTTATCGTGGTAAATTGTTGTATGAAAAGTGTTGAAAAATCGTACGTTTTGATGATATTGATTTTGGGAAAAATTTGTGACTTCAAGTTTTCTAAAAGTTTCTTGGAGTTTTTCAGCATCCACATCCGATAAACACCACTTGAATGTGTTGTTGTACAGTACTCCTGAAGTTTCTCTTTCACTGCTGTTAATATCTTCGTGAGAAGTAAAGAAAAAGGCTTGGTAGAACATTTACTGGAACTTGTATCTATGTTTGCAAGGATTTCTATTTAGTTTAGGAATCAGTATAGGTATGGAAATTCAAATTCGATTTCATTGTTTATAATATTTTAAAATAATCAAAACTGAAATGTGATTTTGAAGAATTCCCTTCTTAGAAAAGGAACTATATTACAAATTTAATAACCACTTGGAGAATGATTCCAAATTCCTATAAAATACAAATAAATAATGATACTCATAAAAAACAATGCTATTACTTGCTTTGTCAGCGGGTACCAGTAAATATTGATCCTGTAATCTATTTTATTCTTTTTTCACTTCTAAATCATTGAAGACAGGAGGATAGATGGTTTTCATATTTCCCTTTAACCTTTTAATACGAGATGTCAACACCCATCTGATACTTTAAATCCAATTTTGTACGTGTCAACTCTCCCTTTCTCATATTTGGTCTATTACCTGGTGTAATCTTCCACAAAATTCATAATATTTATAAAATTATGACGCCAGTTGAAAGGTCGGGGTTCCCTAAAATTAAAATAAGTGATTTATGGTCCCCATTAAGTACTAAATTTACGTCACCAATAATGCCGTGTCCAGCATACTATAGCTGTAGGGTGAAGAAAATAT